AACAAACCATTAAATCGTCTACGTATAAGCATTTATCAATTGACTCCTCAACACCTTTGGCTATTTCATTTATGGCGATGCCGAACAGGGAACAACTGAGTGTTGACCCCTGCGGCACACCATTTTCTAAAACATACTCTTTGGAGTTGATATCGCCGATTCTTACACAAAACTTCCTATCCTCTAAAAAGGATAGAAACTCTACTTTAAGAATGCTTTTTGCCATAGCGGTAAGTGTTGATTTAGAAGTAGATCATGTAGACATTACCACAGCTTTTCTTAATAGTCATTTGAACGAAAGAATTTTTATGGCTCAACCGGAAGGTTATATTAAAAATAATAAGGTATGTTTATTAAACAAAGCCATATATGGGCTTAAACAAGCTTCACGTATGTGGAATTTAAGAGTTGAGCAAACTTTGACAGAATTGGATTACAAAAAGTCTAAATATGAATCTTGTCTTTATATGAAAAGAATTGAAGGAACAATTGTTTGTTGCCTTGTATGTTGATGATTTTTTGATTTTCTATAATAATGCTGGTGAAGTTGCTAAATTAAAGGGTGTTTTATCAGAGAATTTTAAACTTAAGGACTTGGGCCAAGTCAAGAAATGTTTAGGTTTAAATATTGAACTAGATAAAAGTAAGCAGGAATTAAGAGTAAATCAAAAGCATTATATCTTATATTTGTTAGAGAGATTTGGTATGAAAGATTGTAAACCAGTTTCAACTCCTATCGAACCAAGGTTAAAATTAGAAAAAGGGAAACGTGATGAAAGTATTCCTTACAGATGTCTTATAGGTTCTTTAATGTTTTTAGCAGTTAATTCGAGACCTGATATAGCTTTTTCTGTAAGCTATCCAAGTCAGTTTAATACTTGTTACACAAATACTCATTTTCAACATGCTAAAAGAATTTTGAGTTATTTAAAAGGGACCATTGATCAGAGTTTAATTTTCAAAAAAGGTGATTTGGAAATCAAAGGATTTTGTGATGCTGATTGGGGAAATAATTTAATCGATGGAAAATCATATACTGGTTATTTGTGTTTGTTGTCAGGAGGGGCAATTTCATGGGAATCAAAGAAACAAGCATCAGTAAGTTTATCTAGTACCGAAGCAGAATATGTATCTATTTGTCAAGCAACTAAAGAAGCTATATTTTTAAAAGGTTTTCTTGGTGAAATTTTACAAATAGATGAAACTACTTTGTTATGTAATGATAGTCAAAGTGCGCAGAAGTTGGTTTCAAATCCTGTATTTCATAATAGAACATAAAAATGTAAAATATCATTTTAAAAGAGAGGCAGTTGAAAGAAAAGATATATGCTTAGAGTATATTTCAACAGATCAGATGCCAGCTGATATTTTCACAAAAGGTTTAGCAGGGCCAAAACACAAATATTTTGTTAACTATTTAGGATGTATGTAATTTCAAATATATATGTTTATAAGTAGTTTAGTTTACAAGTTTTGTGTATGTATCTTCATTAGATTAAGTGGGGCTGTTGGAATATAATTATAATCAAGTTTGATATTCACACAGCGCCAGTTTAGTATATAAGTAATTTTGAAAAGTGTCAAAAATTTAATTAAAGAAATGTGTCATTGTAAGTTTGTATTAAAACTGATTTTCGTTTTGACTGATTAAAAACTCACAAGATTACTATCACATACGATAAAACTGAAAAGGAAACTTTATTAAAAACATATCACGACAATCCATTACAAGGAGGTTTTTGTGGACAGAAAAGATTATATGCAAAGTTAAGAAACCTTTACCATTGGAAAAATATGTCACAAGATGTGGCATTATATGTTAGGAATTGCCATAAATGTCAAATAAATAAACCTAAAGTTTAAGAGATCCTTTAGGCCTTTAGCACTCACCACTACACCATGCAAACCATTCAATATTATGATCGTAGATACAATTGACCCATTTTATATAATAAATATAATAAAGATGCCTTTAATCCAGAGGTAGAGATAAACTTTATAATTATGATAAAGGCGATCAGAAAGGGTCACTGTCGAAGGTATTTTATGGACATGGATAAATAATGAAATAATAATAAATACATTATTTGCAACCCTTACACATTTTTCAAAAAATGGCTCGGCCAGTATTATACAACATTTGCTTCTTCTGAAAACGGCATTTCGATACGAACTGTTTGCAAAAATTTACAACTTCCGGGCAAAATCGTTCTAATTTTCTTGGTTTAACAGACCTATGCGGTTTGTAAAAAAAAAATAGTGCTCTATATGGTCTCCATTTCCTCTGCGATGAA